ATTTGTGTTATGATAGTGAAGCTAACGCACTAACACCACTTTTGGAGTGTGAATGTAAACATACATGAATTGAAGACTATTAAAAAAACTAACCAACTTCTAATAAAATATTAACTACTTTTGGAGTGTGAATGTAACATACATGAATTGAAGAATATTAAAAAGAAATAATCAACTTCTAATAGAATATTAACTAACTTAACCGCCTAAGCATGTGATAATTTATAAACAACTAAAATCAAATGGATTTATATCGATTCTGTTTTAAATGAGACCGTAAATCAAACATCAAGTTTTAATAAGATTTAAGGGAGAAAAAGCTACCCTTAAATATTTACACACACTGATTCCCGAAAAGCGAAAGCAGAAAAAGTGGGAATGTGGGATCCCAAGATAGAATCCATTGTATGAGAAACCACGAGGAGGCCCATTTATCCAAAAACTAAAACAAGGGGATCTTTTCAACTACTACAGCCCACCGTTTCTTCTTCAAACTTTTGGTAGTTCATGAAAAACTTGTCGAAGTCCGGGGTGTTAAATGTAAAATATAAATAGCATATGTATTTTGTCCTTCAACAGCCACTGGTTTTTTTCCTCCACTGTTCTTTCACAGTACACAAACTCCAGGGGCCAGAATATAAATAATATATTTCAAAGTGTAATTTACTTAAATACCCCCATTCACAACCCCTCCCTCTATATATACCAACACCCACTCCACACTTGGCAGCATTCACCTCAAAACCAAACAAATTTTCAAATGGAAGGCTTGCAATCTTGGGTCTCAAACCACAAGCTAACCAGCATTGGTTTGTTTAATTTATAAACTTTAACTTTTATTATTCAATGTAATGATAGATTTAATTTTTTGAATAATCAAACCAATAAATATAATGGAGTGTTGTTGATAAATGTATATGTAGGCACAATTTGGGCAACATCAATTGGAGCATCAATGGCTTACACAAGTGCTAAGAGAGCTCCATTTAAGCCTAGCCTTAGGCTTATTCATGCGAGGTTTCTAATCTACAAATTATTCAATTGTTTAATGAAGCATTTAAACGATTTATATTTATTTATCTTTGTGGTTATATTAATATGTATTTGTTTTCCACTATAGGATGCATGCACAAGCTTTAACGTTGGCAGTGTTATCTGGTGTGGCGCTGTACCACCATTACGAGAATAGTGGAGCTGATCACAACCGTCAGAATGAACCGAAATAAGGAATAGGCGATGGCCTTAAATCCACTGGAGACGATGATAGTTTCTACAATAATGCACCCAAATATTTCTACCTTGCTTTGTATAGTAATTTTAACATTATAAAATAAATTAGCTTGCTGATATTGTGTTAAATTCTATATGATATTATATTGTAATATATCTGATATAGAGTTATTGTACTAACTACTAAGGGCTATGGTTTAATAGGGCTAAATTTATATGGATATTTTTTTGGGCCAAAGTTTTATGGCCTATTGGGCTAATGGTCAACTTTCAGTTGCGCTTAAGCTTATTTGCATATATTCATGTATTGGGCTTAAGAATATTAATATGTAAGAATTAAAGACCTAATACGAGAATAGTATGTTTTTTTAATTGATTTCCACATCTCAACTATTAACTCACTTGTGTTTGGTTCATTGGTCGCATCTCGTATGTATCGGGTTCCTTTTATTTTCCTTTATATCTCTTATTTGATAATCAAATCAACCTTATTTTTAAGTTAATCTACAAAAATAAATGCAAATATGTGCTTTCACAATCTCATGGTTCACAAAACACTACGTGAAGACAGAGTAGGTTATTGGGTCCTATCTATATAATTAAAAAGAGAATCTTGTAGTTAGTGTAATCATTAGGAATTGTGTTGATGTGGACAGGCTGGACTTAAATGTTTATAATTTTTAAAGGTAGGGACTGGTTTTTGAAATTTATAAATGTTTAGGGGGTAACGAAAGACGTGCTTGGCTTACCACATGTTTGCTGTTATAAGGCTGGGATGTCTTTTTCCACTTTCAAAGTCTTTTAGTTTTGGGTTCTCTTCTCTAACCACTACACTGGTGATACCCCACCCCTACCCCCTCATCTTTCATAGTATTTGACAATTATACCCCCCACCAACTATTATTCCGTTTGCTCTCTTTATATATATTTTTTGATAATGATGATATGTAACTATGTAAGTGATTTCGATTTGTTACTTATTCAAGTGTAAAGAATATTTAAAAAAGGTAATTTTGTGGAAACAAATGCAACGAAAATGCACTGTTTTGAATAACCATATTTTAATCAAATCGAATTAATCTACTAATAATGTTATTTTTGTTTGTCTTTCTATAATTGCATTGTTTAGTTATAGACATTGCTTTAATATACTAATATTTGTTTATTTAATTATGATCTAGATATCTTGTAATGATAAAATTGCATTATCAACATCAGTAAGTGATACTTAATCAGCAAATATGTAACTATATCTTGAAATTTTATCAAAAGTAAAATAATTTAAATTTCCTGAAAACATGAAAATAAAATTAATCGCAAGTGAAATCGAAAATGAACTTTTATTATAGTTTACATAAATAAAAGTATAAAACGGAGTTATTTGTAAAGCATCTTGATTTTCGATTGTAGGGTTTTTTTTTTTTTTTTTTTTTTTTAATAAATGAGTTATTGAGACGTTTTTGTAAATAATACTAAATTTGTTTTTTACTAGTTTTCCCTATATTTTATTTTATTTTTTAAATGTCAACAATATTACCCTTCAACGTTCGATAGTTATATAGATTTCTGTAAAAATCATAAATATTGATGTAAAGAAAATCCTTTCACCACATGGGTGTTTTAGTAATTTCCGTTTTATTGAATTTATACAAAACAAAATAATATGACTCGAAGGAAGAAAAATATAACAAAAGAAAGCGTGGCTTTTAGGAAGGCAGCATTATATTTCCAATAGGGAAACATTAATTAATTATATATGATTATATATATACTTTGATGTAATATTTAATTAATATATGCTTATAACTAAAGCAATTTTTTAATTGCTTCCTTTTGTGGATTCTTCCATATATAACTTCAAAAAGCAACCTCCAACACATTATCTCTTAAACAATACTTCATTCGATCATCTTCATCTTCGTCTCCTTCTTCATTATTTCATTTTATTTTTTGTTCTTCAGTTCTTAATAAGGATTTCTGTTGGTTTCAAAATCTTGATATATATATATTTGGCGCCTTTTTATAAGGGAAATAATTAAGAACATGGATTGCGCGGTATGTAGCACGATGCCGTATAATTTGAGGCCTCCAAGGAACACTATATGCGTAGCTTGTTATGAAGGTGCCAAAACTATTATCGCCATCACAAACAAGATTGACGATCATAAACTTTCTGGGAAATTATCTGGTGATGCCTCCGGTTCTTCCAAGGTAATTAACTAGTTAATCAATTTTACTAACTATTCAAGAATTTTAGCTTGTTAATCATCTTTTTACTAATATTAAATACGATTATAGAAATGATCATGCAAAGTAATTTTAAATGATCAAATAATCAATTCGACCAAAAAGTTAAAAACAATTGGTGCATTGGTTCTCGTTCTTGATTTTAATGTGTTGGTGCGTACATGTAAAACCTTCAAAGATTTCTCGTCTCTCATACTTACAATACCTTTTCGTGATTGTGTTTATGGGTTAGTTTTAGGGTTTTTGTATTTAAAATCTTTATGTTGGTTTTTCTTGTCAATACGTTTTAGTGTAGTCAGAACTCAGAATAATATAATATGAGAGAAGCTAAGTTTCTTTAGCCGTTTTTCAAGGTTGTAGGTGCAGTTTCACACTCAAATAATTAATTAGGGTTCGAGAAGACGGGGCCCATGGGCTCTCTAGTGGGGTTCCACCGTTCCAAGCGGTATCCCATTGGGCCCTGGCGGGTCTAAGGGGCAGAGCCCATTTTTTCCTGCTAAAAACACAAAGTTGGGTTCATTCCTTGAGGCGCTGTTTCACCCTTAAAATTAGACCTGTACAAAAAGACTGGTATCGGACCGGACCCAAAAAAAGGCCGAGACCGAACCAGTCTACAACGAGACCGGACCGAAAAAAGACCGGTTCTAAAAAAGACCGGACCGAAAAAAGACCGGCTTGAGACCGTCCCGGACCGGTCCGAAAAAGATCGGACTGTTCGAAGACTGGTCCTAAAAAAGACTGGACCGGTTTGAGACTGGTCTGGGAAAATAGGCTTGTAACCAAACTTTATAAATATATAATTTGTCTGTTAATTATACAATTTTTAATCACAAACGATCTAATATATTTCATTTTTTCTTTTATTAAATTTAAATTAACATTTTTAATAAATCTTAATCTATTATTTTGGTGATAATCTCATATTTAGTAATGGAAAAAACTCGAAACCAAAACAAAAGAATCGAAAAATACCGAAACCGAACAAAAAAACCCGTAAATCGAACTGAAAATGGTGTACGGAAAGATCGAGAGATGAGAACGAAAAAGACCGGTCTGAAAAAAGACCGAATGGAACCGATCTGAAAAAAGACCGGACCGTTCCGAGACCGACCTCTAAAAGATAGGACCGTTTCGAGACCGACCCAAGACCGGTCTGGGACCGCAAATGTGCAGGTCTACTTAAAAGCATCGTCTTCTATGTATATATAGTAGATTAGAATGTTGCAGAACTAGAGCCTACTAAAAAATGCCTTAGAAATCCGGTTTTTAGGAATAAACTCGGTTTTACGACCTTGGTTATAAACCCATTTTTATGTTAGTTTGTGACAGGTAATGTGAAAAAATTTTGGACGGAAAGTTGTTTTTCCTATAACTACCATATGGCAATTTTAAGACAGGAAGTTAGTTCCTGTTATATGATCAATTTCGAAATCTTCTTGGGTACAGATCTTCATAACATCTTCTTCATTCTCCATTCTAAAAACAGTGAGTTTTATCCGATTAGAAATTTTCGAATGTACTCTTGAAATGCTTTAATCTGAAAGTATTTCACGATTCTCATTGATCCAAATAATTCTATACCCGATTTTCTAACATCTTCTCTACGCAAGTTGTCACCGGAAAAACACAATCACAAATTTTGGAATATGTCTGTATTCCGATTCTATTTGTTCTTCATTATCCCAAATTGTTTTTCGTGATACCCAAACAATAGGGTCGAAGTCATCATATACGATCCTTGATTTGTCCAAATGTTATTATTGATATTCGAAACTCAAAATCTAACGTGTTAAGGGTAAAATCGTCCTTGTAATTTCATGTGAATACATGGTAAAGTTAACCGGTGTAAACTAAGGAAAATGTTGAAATTGTTTTAGGGTTTCTCGAGTTCATTGAAATGGTTGAAGGAGATGAGGAAGATGGAAGAAGAAATGAATCAAAAGTTGGGATTTTTAAGTGGATTCATTGATGCATTTAGAGATCAGATTCATACAGACATTCTTATCAGGCCTGGTAATGATGCTCCCTCCATACCTGCACATAGAGCATTACTGGTTGGTACTACTCTTCCTCTCTTTTTAAATTACTCATCATCATTCAATATGCATACAAAACTGACAAATTCATAAGTAAATTCCTCCAAATTGTCATGTCTACAATTTAATTATTCGTTAAATATTTGATATATTATTTAAATAGGAATTTGCATAAACATACTATATATAGAATCAAAGATATGTTTCTATTAGTTGAGTTACACCATTGAGAATGCTGGTAGGTATAGGAACTACTTCTTTTTTTTAAATAAGAAAACCCGATAAGAAGATTTTAAATACTCATTAATAAAACAAAAAGATATAATTTCAAAACCAAAGTCAACGTCATTATTTTGCAATAATTGTTGACGAAGAAATAAATATATTTGAAATAAATCTTACCAAGAAAAATAAACTTATTCTTTAAATACCTTTAAATTCTAGAGTCTAGATTAATTTCTGTTTTGGGCTTTGGAGTGTGAAAGAAATTATGCAATGTATTAGCATATGGGCAAAAATAAAATATCTGTCTACTTTTCTTTTTTTCTATCATCTTTTTATATACTACTTATCATATTTAACAAAATTAATAAATTTTTATTATATTTGTCATCAACTAAAATAATAAAAGAATAGTTAGAAAAAAAAATAATAACATATTTAGTTTTTCTATTTGGGCTTAAACTATATGAGTTTGTGGCCCATTAATCTTGGGTTTAAACCCTTAAATCATATGAGCTAGCAATTTAAATTCGATATCATTAAGTTTGTCAGTAAGAGCTTTTTTTAAATACAAAATCACTCATTTTATATATATATATATATATATCGTTTTGTAACTTCATGATTTGATGTATTATTGTAACATGTACAGGCAACGAGGTCGAACATATTTAGAAACATGTTAGACTCTGATGGATGCAAAGCTGCACCAAATGACACTATTACCCTCCCTGAACTAAACCATGAAGAAATCGAATCTTTACTGGAATTCCTTTATAGTGGTGATTTGGCCAAAGAAAAGCTCGAAAAACATCTGTATTCATTATCAATAGCAGCTGACAAATATGAAATCCCATTCTTACAAAAATTTTGTGAGAACCGAATGCTTGAAATCCTTAACACGAATAACGCACTTGACATTCTTGAGATTTCAGATACTACTTGTAATCGCAACCTTAAGGAGACTGCATTGAGTTTTGTTGTTAAGAACATGGAGGATATAGTTTTTGCAGCTAGATTTGATGTGTTTGCACTCAAGAACCCACATCTGACTGTTCAGATAACGAGGGCTTCCTTTTTGGAAATCAAAAACAGAAGAAGTGATATTTGAGCTACAATTAATTAATTGTCATACTATTACTATATATTATACGTATTTAGTTATTATATAACAACAGAATCATGTTATCACTTTTTGTTTATATGATAAAACATTGTTTTGAAACATACGATGGATTTAAGATACACCTGTTTATGAACATAGAGGAATTAATTCAAGCATAGCTAGCTACAAAAATGAACAAGATTGATGAAACTAGAGCAAACCGGATGCATGATTTAGCAGCCTTGCCCTTGATGATGGTTGTTTTGGGTCCAGTTTTCAATGGAATTTGAGATTGCATGTTTCACCATTTGGGCGTCTATGATTTCACCGTTTTCGTCACTCTACAAAAACCAGTCCTTCTCATCAGTTCGCTTCTTAAAATGACATTGTAAGGCCTTTGAGTTCGTGTATTCAAAACCTTCTTAAAACACAAATTATGTTTTCATATATAGAAAACTAAGATATCAAGGAAAGACATGGGCCCTCTAGTGATAATCGTTCAACTTGAAGAACCCCAATCTCGAAACTTATCAAGAAGTGCTAAAGATTCAAATTCATACATGAAAACGACAAAATTCCCATATACATTAATTAAAATTCCAGAAATTAAGTTGGTGTTGATTAGTAAAAAAAAGCCTAATTAACCATGTAATGTACATGTTGGGGTTTTCCCTATTAGCTTTACATGTTTGTTTGTGTGTGTGTGTGTGTGTGATATTGAAAAGTATAGTAGTGATAAGTTCATGCATGAATTAAAGTACCTCATCTCCAAGTGCTTCTAGGTGAAAACTGCCTGTACAAGAAACCCTAGCTTCCAATACATTAAGACTCAATTCTTCAAAAACTTTCAAAACAAAGACCAGTAGACCTGGGCAGCTTCTTTCTGAGTAGAGATTTACTCGTATACCCTTTTCTACAGATTCAACTGTTACCTGCAACAGATAAAACATGATCATTAACATATACAAACAAAAACGATGGATTCAATTACAAAAAAAGGCGTTAATTTGCGTGTCTTAAAGAAAAAGATGAATAACGACAAGTGATCTATGGAGCTTCATTCGTTACCTAATTTTCTTTCATCTCTAATCTTTATACATCTTACGAGTCACACTCGTATAGTTAATGAACTTGAAACTCATAAAATAAGAATATTGATAGGGACATGACGAATCCAACATTAATTAATGAAAATACATATATAGTACCACGGGCCATGAATTCTGGCAGCTTGAGCTTTGTCCGCTTGCTATATCTTGATTTAGTATTTGTACTTTGTGTTTGAGCTCTTCGATGTACTTGGATGCATCTAGTATGATCGATGAATCGTTCTTCTGCAACAAGTATATAATAGATTTTTAAAAGTTCAGATTATATACATGATTAAAAGCTATAATTTAAAGGGGTTTCAACTAATTAACTTAATCGGATTTCACACATATAGAACCAATCAAAGATCGAACAGAGATGACCAAAAAACTACATAATATATAGGGAACAAATATAATAATTCTTTCGATAATCAAAGGGTTTTTGTGCATATATATGCATGATTGAAGAAGATGAAAAAATTTATAAGCCAATGAATGGAACGGATCAGAGAATTACTGCATGAGAGTTTGTGATAGAACGAAGAAGTTGCAGCTTCTCATGCAGTGTGGCTTTCTTGTGCTCTCTTGACACCATGCTTAGTTAATTGCTTCTTTTAATTCCTCCTTTGAATATCAAGTATCAAGCTGCAGCAACTATCTCTGAATCTTATTATTATAAAGAGAAGATGAGCTCTCGAATCATTGATCACTGACGTGTTTGTTATTGATCAATAGTCACACATGGCTCTTTTATGCTCTATTTGGACTAAAATACCAAATACTCCCTCAAATTATGGTCCTCGGATTCCTACAACTTTTTATTCAGTTTTAACACTATACTTGGTTTTGTGTAAATCCCAAGAAATACAAAAAAAAAAAGGTGATCATGACCCATTAGGTTTTATTCATTCTACACCTTTTAAGTTCGAATAACATATATATGTGTTAACAGACAAATATATGAAAGTTTAATCTAGAATTTAAAATTCTCTCATTGGCCGATCGAATTGCGTGAATATAAGGGTATCAAGGAGGACCACGACATTAACGTTGCAAATTGTTTCTTGACTCCTGCTTCAGAACTTACAAATAACTTATACCTGGTGTTTAATATGTTTTTTTCGTCGTTAGAAATTTAATGATGCCTATCCTGGCTACTATTCCTTAAATATGCAAGTCTTTACAATCTTCACGTTAAGTTTATTGCCTATATATAGGTTAATATATGTTAATCCTTAGTTGGAAATAATTATAATGTTTGATTAATTAATAATAGTATTTGGGTATTTTGAAAAGAGTACCGAGGGCATATTAGTAAAAGAAGGGATATGGAAGACTAGACAATGGTAACACGGGGAGGACTGACGAGGAAAAGAATCATAAGCTCGTGATTCTTGTTTGGAATTGAAGGGTAAAAAAAGTATAACACTAATGATACGCATATATTATATATAATAATAATAATGTTTCCAAATACAAATAATTATTTATAGATTGACTTGATATTTTTGAATACTTATAAGGTCATTGGATGTATTAGCCCCGCAACCAACAGAGAGGTGACATGGAACCGCGGTGGTGTAGTATATTGAACGTACAACACCTCAAAGCATTAGAAGACCTGATCAACTTTTATTATTTTATGTTTATCTTTATTCTCTGTCTAGTTATTTCCTTAGTCAAAACTGTTTAGAAGTTACTTTCAGTTTCCTAGCTTGTTAATCCACGTTCCTTGTAGTGTCTATAAGGCGTGTGATAATCTCCTTTTGTATTCAAGTCTTCAGAGAATAATACACATCAGTTGTGTGTAACCAAAACTTCCTCTGTATTTTTGCTTTGCCTAATCTGTTGTGTGCAAGTGTGTGAGTGTGTCTATTAGGCTCGAGGTTAACAATCTGGTATCAGAGCATCCAGGTTAATGGCGGAATTACAGGTGGCCGGTGGTGTGAAGAAACTTAATCATCACAATTACAACACATGGTCTACTTGCATAATGTCCTACATGCAAGGTCAAGATCTGTGGGAAGTTGTGAAGGGATCAGAGACAAAGCAACCTGAGGCTGAAGACAACAATGGTGTTCTACGTAAGTGGAAGATCAAGGCAGGCAAAGCTCTATTTGTGTTGAAGACAACAGTGGAAGAAGAAGTTCTAGAGCACATAAAGGACGCTGCAACACCGAATGAAGCCTGGGAAACTTTGCTCAGTTTGTTTTCTAAGAAGAACGACACAAAACTCCAAATGCTTGAGAATGATCTTTTGTCTGTGTCACAAAAGGATTTATCAATTTCTCAATATTTTCATAAGGTGAAAGCTACGTGCAGGGAAATTGGAGAATTAGATCCTGAAGCTCCGATTGGTGAATCTCGGATGAAAAGAATCATCATTCATGGCTTAAAACCTGA